GCTTTATTGCTCCATGCTTATTACGTAGCAATGCACCTCTGACTAGGTTAACAAAATAGAGGCTTGATTTTTGTCTGCTTATTAGGCGGCGATGAAAAGTTGCCTGTTCATAGACGAAGGTTGTCTCTTTGGATTCCATGCATTGATTCACAGATACCATTTTTGTCTTGGCCACAATAAAATCAGTCTCATTACTTAATTGTCTGACCTTGTAGATTACTCATAATGGCTGTCCAAGGAATTGTAAGCATGTCTCTCTAAAACCACATCTCGGAATCTTCAGTAAATTGTTAGACTTGTTCAATAACTAACCAGGATCCACAACCGTTTGTTGACATTAGTTCCGTGGAGCATGCACGAAATTTTGCTATAGCATCCAGTGACAAAGATTTATTGTAGAAGATGGTCTTTCTTCTTTTTCTTTTCTTCTTGTTCTTGTTCTTCTTGTTCTTGTTCTTGTTCTTGTTCTTGTTCTTCTTCTTCTTCTTCTTCTTCTTCTTCTTCTTCTTCTTCTTCTTCTTCTTCTTCTTCTTCTTCTTCTTCTTCTTCTTCTTCATATCTGTAGTCCCGGTTTTGTCCTTAATGTTCAGTATTAAAGAGGTATCTAATGCCAGCTTTGCTTTGTGGTTCGTTGTTGTTGATATTCATGGCCTAGGATATTCTATTTATCCACTGCTTCCGTTGTGTCGTAGCGACAGGACTGTCTGTAGTGCACTATCTCGTAGCAGTATTGATACAGATGGTCGAACAATTTGACATGTTGCCTATTTATGTTGTTTTGCTCTGGTTCCTTCCCAACTCCTTTTTTTTTTTTTTTTTTTATCGTTATTTCTAATCCTGTCTTTTCTTGTTACTTTTTTGTTTCGTAGAATTTCATTTCTCTTGCTACAGTTTTTTTTTTTTTTTCACCTAATGTCCACGTTTGGCACTGTTAACATAATTTGGGTACAAGAATACTACACCACACAGTGTAAATTTTGTCTTTTTTGTTCGATGTTTGCTCTGCAATATCGCTAACATTTGTCCAGTTATTTGATTCACTTTATTATTTTGAGTCTCCTTTCATTTGTCCATTGGATGATATTATACTTTCAAGATACTTCAAGTCTTCTGCTTGTTTCAGTTATTACTGTTGAGAGCATATCTGTTTTGATTGTTTAGTCCTTGCAATTCTTCTCCCCCCCCCCTTTTTCCCTTTTTTTCCAATGTTAATTTCATGTTCAGATGTTCTTGTTCTTCTATAATAATCTTACTTCTTCTCTCTATCTCCCCCCCCCCCCCCCCCCCCCAAATCAAACATATCTAAAAAGATCTAACGTGAAAGCAAGAAGGCGACCAATTAAAAAAAAAGAAAAACATGGATTGATCGCCTTGAACACATTACACATCCACACAGAATGACATGTTGTCACTGCCAGCCATCAAGCGCTTGTCTGCAGACTGTTCCACCCCACTCCCCTTTTCAGTAAACTCTCAGCCATTTGACCCTTTTTTTTTCGATTTAGTTCCTGTCATAAAACAGGATAAGAACCGCTGAACGTAAGGTGTGTTCAACGGCTTAAACTGGATAAATAGGAGAAGAACGTATTGTGATTTGTTTAAACTCTCCTACGGGTATCTTTGAAACACTTTTCCTGTGCGCGGTATGTGTCGTGTACCGGTTTTATTTTTTTAAACACAAATCATATAATTCAAAGTACCGATAAAGATGCTGAATCTATAGTATAATTAGAATCGATATTTGTGTTTAGAGCTCTTTTTTTAAATCTAAATTTATAATAACAATAGTTGTGAATTTGTTTTTGTAATTAGAATCTTTTTTTTTTTTTTTAGCGTTCCTTGCATTGTTGCAGAAATGAGATAATAATAATAATATATAACTATGTCCTTAAGAAACAGAATAGGGGCTTTGGAGCTGAAATGCTATAGAAAGATTCTCAGAATATCTTGGACAAAGAAGAAGAGAAATACTGACATCTTGAAAGATCTGAACATCAAGGAAGATTGGCGAATAAACAGCATCCTTTCTCGGAAGCTGAAATATTTTGGTCATATCAAGTGCCACGACGGATTGGAAACAATTATAGCAGAAGGCATGGTACCAGTAAGGAGGGGCAGGGGCCGACCGACACGAAGATGGGCACAGGATATTAGTTGACTCCTGGAGTGTGAAAGTTCATGAGGCGGGAGAACTGGTAAGAGACCAAGTGTCTTTCAGGCAGGCCGTGATGAGAGCGACGTTCTGCAAAGGACCTGCTCCACGATGATGAATATAATTATAATTTTTACAGAAATAAAATGATAATGATAACAGTAACATAATAATAATTATAATAAATCCGAATTATAATTAGTGTCTTATTGATGTTTAATTTTCATTATTTACAAGAAAAAATAATAATGAAATGATAATTATTATTAGTAATAAATACAATGAATCGGTGGCATAATTATCATCATCATCAGGTGCCTTGCCGACTGGCGTGGGCGATCATGCCTCTCCGTAATCTGCGATCTCCTGCAGCATGTATCAGTTCGTGTGCCGACACACCTCCATGCCATGCAACAAGACTGTCAAACATCTTCTCTCGTTGTCTTCCTCTATCCATTTTTCCACAGATCTTTCCAGTGGTCACAACATGTTCTATTTTCCCTCTTCTCATAACATGGCCGAAAAATGATGACTGTCTCCTTCTGATGTCTGTGATAAGTTGTTTTCGGGCTCCCGCCTCTTTCAAAACCTCTTGGTTGCTCTTTTTGGCTGTCCAAGGTATTCTAAGCATTCTTCTGTAAAACCACATCTCTGAGGCCTCTAAAAATTGTTTGGCCTGCCTACCGATTGTCCAGGATTCACATCCATATGTTAAAACTGGATGTATGTAGCAAGCAAGAATTCTTTTTCTAACTCTCAATGACAAGGATTTATTGCACAAGATGTTTTTCATTTTATAAAATGCAGTTTTTTCCTGTCCAATTCTGTTTCTTATTTCAGTTATGCATCTTCCATCTGATAATTATTAACATAATTATAAACATGCATAATTATAAACATAATTATAATTATAATAATTACATAATATAATAATTAAATATAATAAAAATAAATATAATATAATATAAATATAATATATATATAATATATAATAAATATAAATATAATAATTAAATAATTATAAACATGCTTATTTATAAAATCTCATTCACAACAACAACAAAATAATATCATTAATAACAATAATAACAACAATGATAATAATATCAGTGAATATGTAGTATGATTAGAATCGTTTCTGTGTTTAGAGTAAATGAAGGACGATTTCGTACCACTGGGACTGCGGTCATTTGGTTCCGTATCCATATTTTTATAGAACCGTTCACCCTGGGTGAGTGTCGACCACATAAAAGCCGTCTTTATTTTCTGGCTGTTTTCCTTGTACGTTATTTAAGCTGGGGCTACCAATGAGCTACAATAAAGAATGAAGATTCGAACGCAGATCTTTCGGGCTGGCAGGCAAGCCTATTACCAAGGCGCTGATAGACTAACAATATTATCCTGAGAATGTTTTTGTTTTGTTTAAAAAATCTCAGTCTAAATATCATACTAGCAGGGAAGATCTAATATACCCCGTTCAACATTCAAAAAGAAAATAGAATTATGGTTTGGGCACGCGAAATCGACTCCACCGACCATGTGTAATCCGCAGTCCTATGTAGATGTGGAAACGAATAATTTACTTAGGAGACTTATCTATTTATCTTTTTTTACCCCACCAGGACATCACACAAGTGATAAACGCCCGATGACACAAAGTGCCACTATGTGGATGAGGATCACCCGTGGAGAGGTCCCTGAGACCGTGTTCAGCCATTAGACCATATTTATGGCCGGGCTATATTGCGGCCTCTGGCGAGGAGCCAGAGTAGGGCTTCAAATAACGAAAAACTGCATCCCACAAAGGGACGACAGGATTCTTAGGAGACTCAAATGCACATACATTTATCGATGCTTCAAATTAAAAAAAAAAACCGCTGAAAACGCTAGAGAATAAGATCAAGGAGAAGACGTTTTTCTGGTTCGGATATTGCGCAACACGTATCTGTAATTATTCTTCTTCGCACACCTTCAGAAGACAGTGCGAGCAGTGTTCTGATCCAGGAGCTTCTGCCACATGTATTGGTGTTACCATTCCGCTGGAATAAGCATGGCAGACCAAGTGAGGAACCATGTTGTCTGAAGTTTCTCTTTCTCTAGCCAATGCTCCAGCTTTCTGTGCTTTCCTAGCCGATGCATGTTCAATCTCTTGTATTCACATTCGCCTACGTCTGCCTCGGCGTCGTTTTCCGGAAACTGGTCCCTTCTTCACCGCTCTCTCCAGTCCAGCGTAACGTTTGATGAGACCAAAATACCTCGGCTTTTGTGACATTACCCAGATTTTTCCTCTATGCTCACATTATTCCAGATATCGGTGTTTCTCTTTTATTTCGAAAGCTCCGATGTTTTTTGGTTTTTTTTTTCAATGATTGCATAAGATTCTATGATTTACATCCATAGATTGCCATGGGAAAAGATGCATGATCTGAAAATGTTAACGTTAGCCCACTAACAGGTGATGGGCAATAGATTCTTCGTCCCGTTTAGTCTCTGTATTGCTAAGGGAGGATTTTCGACTTGTTCTGTGCGGTCGCCAATGTTGCCTTCTATTAAGCCTAAATAATCAATATACGTTACATATTCAATCTATTCTTTATCGATTGTTATACGCTGTTGGTGTGTTGTATTTACTATTGACGTTATTATGCAATCCTAGATGGGAGGAAAACTATTTAATAAATAAGTGTCTCAATAGACATATCAGAAATTATATCCATGTTACAAAGGAAAGGAGAAAATACAGACATAGTGTGTCGTAATATATTGTTCATGTTAAAAGTGGGACAGATCTGAGCGTGGTTATAGACTGATAGCCGGGAAGTATTTTAGAGTTGCGTCTCGTGTTTCCATGGAATCGAACATGCCAGATGAAAGAAGAATGTGGTTAGAAGGAGGTGCCAGACGGAGCGGCAGCAATGATGTATCATCGAGGCGCCGGTAAGTCTTTTTATTGTAAATGTGTAGTCATTTGTGTTTGAATGAATGAATGAGTCAGTCAGTCAATTAATAAATCAATAAAGAATTGACATTACTGCACTTCCGAACATTCCCACACATGCTCCGCCCCCTTCTTCAGTAGCCAATGGATTCAAAGTACTAATAGTACCAGTTGCAACCGTATTTGTGTTTCAAATTGACACATAGATTAGGAAAAAGTGTACGGACGTCTTCACTTGTTTAAGTTCATTGGCCGTAAGCTCCTGGTTCTAGTTGTTGGTACAGTTATGCATGTTGGTATTGTTCTAGGTATTGAGTTTTACGTGCTCATCGGTTTTACAGGTACGAGTTATTAGTGTGCAGACTGTTGGTTCCTCGCCTGTCAGGAAGAGGAAACCCGACTTTTAAGGCAGCGTCAGTCCTATCAGCGTTAGCCAGGCCACTAGAGCCTGTTTCTAGCATGCCCGCAGAGAGTGGATAAGTCTAGTCTAATGTGAGCCGTGGTCGTGGTTGCACCAGTACCTGTGTTTCAGCAATCTTTTCTCCTGTTTATGGAAGGTCATTATGGATAATTACCGATAAGTGACAGACTGTGTGGAAACAGGTAGGTAGGTGATTTGCATGGAGGGGGGCAGAAGGGAAAGGGGGAGGGGGATTCGCAACGTTCAACCAGATAGATAGATAGATAGATAGATAGATAGATAGATAGATAGATAGACAGACAGACAGACAGACAGACAGATAGATAGATAGATAGATAGATAGATAGATAGATAGATAGATAGATAGATAGATAGATAGATAGATAGATAGATAGATAGATAGATAGATAGATAGATAGATAGATAGATAGATAGATAGATAGATAGATAGATAGATAGATAGATAGATAGATAGATAGATAGATAGATAGATAGATAGATAGATAGATAGATAGATAGATAGATAGATAGATAGATAGATAGATAGATAGATAGATAGATAGATAGATAGATAGATAGATAGATAGATAGATAGATAGATAGATAGATAGATAGATAGATAGATAGATAGATAGATAGATAGATAGATAGATAGATAGATAGATAGATAGATAGATAGATAGATAGATAGATAGATAGATAGATAGATAGATAGATAGATAGATAGATAGATAGATAGATAGATAGATAGATAGATAGATAGATAGATAGATAGATAGATAGATAGATAGATAGATAGATAGATAGATAGATAGATAGGATAAGATAAGATAAGATAAGATAAGATAAGATAAGATAAGATAAGATAAGATAAGATAAGATAAGATAAGAT